TTCAAAGACCAAATAAGACAACATCGGAATTTAAGATATTATATATTAGATAATTAGAGATTAGAGAGTAGAAGATGAATAGATTATTTTGTGATTTAAAAGAATGAAATTTAGGGGTATTTATATGAGGTATATTTGGTCCTCCTCACACATATTTCATTTCTTATCACTTTTTTTATTTCAATGATTAATTTAAATTTATTGTCTTAATATTCAAATTTATTTATGTTTAAGTAACTTTCTTATAAAATAATTATAGAAGCCCTTTTTTTAATTTTATTTTACAAATACATACAAAAAGTATATTTCAATACAGCCGCAAAAATGTAGTTTTAATTTTCTTATTTACACTAGAGAACTAAATTTTTTAAAAAAACTCAAATAATGATAATCAAAGAAGTCAAAAAATAAATTTTGTATGAAAAATATTAAAATATATGTACCTTGAACTTTGTCAAAAGGAGCATTTTCCTTAGATGAAGGGTATATGTGAGCTTCTTTTGTAATGGTAAGGATATATGTGAATATTTGTATAACGGTAAGGATATATATGAGTCACTTTCATAACGAAGGAAATATAAGCTCTAAGTGACAAAGTTGAAGAATATCACAATTTTTTCCCTATATTTTATTATGTATTGAGGTGTGTATTTGTAATTCATGTGAATCTATGTAATTAATAATGCAAAAAAATTTAATATATGAATAAACATAGTTAAAGAATTAATTTTCCAAAAAAAATATTTTTCTATTATATTTGTGAAAGATATCTTTGAAAATAAGAAGCTTTTTTTTATAATTATACAATGAATATTATATTTAACACACCAAATTAGACAATGTATAAAAACTAATTTCTACATAATTAATGTAAAGATAACTAATGAATTATGACTGTAAACTAAATATAGGAAGGACATACCGAAATATTTTTAATTTTATTGTTAAAAGAATACCACATGGAAAGTTTGATTAAGGAGTTACTAAAGAGATCAAAGGAACTCTTTTTCAAATAAATTTAAAAGAAGAATATGACAAATAAATTAAAATGTAAAGAGTATGTAATGTTAAAAATGAAAAGAAAAAAGAAGTGTAAAGAAAATTAACAATACTATTTTTTTTATTAAAAAAAAATCAGTATGTTTTGTATAATTTTATTTTGGAAGAACATTTGAAAATAACGTATTACAATATTCTTTTTTTGTTTCAATTTATTATCCTATTTTCATTTTTAGTGTACTTAAAAATAAACGTCTTCATTTTTAGCAATTCTTCAGTAAAACTTTCAAACATACAATGTTAAATCATAAGATTAAGTGATATGTTGTACATTTAAGACTAAATTTAAAATTCTTTATTAAATTTTATGTCAACAGAATATAAGTTCTTTTATTTTATTTTCTTCATTCACTTTTACTTATCACTTATTCTTAAAATAAATTTTCAATTTTATTTAGTCATTTTTTACATATCAAGAAAAGACATAAATTTTTTTTTCATAATTTATCCACATTATAATACTTAATTTTTAAAATCATTTTTCAAGACATCATTTTATAGGGGTTATTTTTGTAAAATACTTATATAAATAATTATTGTAACAATTAAAAATGAACTCAAGGAGTACTTGTCACTTTTAGTATTTCAAGAAAAGACAATTATTTTTTTTCATGTTTTAACCTCAACAATAAATATTTATTCCTTAAATCATTTTTTCAAAATTTTGATACTAAAAATCATTTAATAGGGTAGTTTGATGAAATACATATATGAATAGGAAAAATCCTTTTGGCCAGAAAATTTGGCCATAATCGCCCAAATATGTACTCACATTATAAATTGATTTATTTTTTGACAACTCTACCCTTCTTTGTAAATTTATATTTTTATTATTAATTCATTCAGTAATTATGCTTCAATAAATGAGAAAACTTTTCAATAAATACATGACTTTTATTTCTTATACAAATTTTTGAAATGGTCAAAGGCCAATACATATTTTTTCATAAAAGTCTATAAAGAATACAAAAAGTTTAATTGATAATTAGAATACAAAAATTAAAATTTAGGATATAAAATTTAAAATTTACATTACAAAATAAATTTACTCATAAAATTACAAATATCACTTCAAAAGAAAGTAATTTTAATTTTTTTTCTTTTTATTTTTCACCCTTTTTTTTGAATAAAATATTTAGATAATGATAAGCGAATTAATCCACAAATAAAATACTTAAGACTGAACTAGTCGTCGAAATAAACAAGAAAAAAATTACTTGTAAGAAGTATCAAATATATAACTAAACTTTCTGAGATAGATCATATATCCTTGTATGAGTTTTGTTTTAATAAAAAACTAAAACAAATAGATTCTAAAAAATCGATAGTTTCACTTCCATCAAGCAAAACAGTTATCAGATATATGTGAACCATTTTATTTAACAGAAGTATATCAAATTTAAATCGTAAAGTTAACAACAACAATAACAACAACAACAACAACAACAACAACAACAACATCAACAACAACAACAACAACAATAACAACAACAACAACTACACTTATACTATAATAAAGTCCTATTACCCCCTGAACTTATTTTATTAATAATTTTCTATCCCTTTTTGGCCTAAGTAGCACTATCTTGTGGGCCCAACGCTGGTTGATATTATTTTAAGGTAGTGCCATGTAGACTGAAAAGGGGTAGAAAATTACTTACAAAATAAGTTCAGGGAGTTAATAAGACCTTAGTATAACATAAGTGTGTCTCTGAAATTTCGGGCATAGTTTGAGGGGGTACTTATGCATTTTCCCTAATAATAATAATAATCCAATAATTTGGACAACATCTTTTTAAATATAAAAAAAATGTTAGAAATCAACAAATCATAAAAAAAATCAGAAAAAGGCCTAAAATACCCTCGAAGTATTGGAAATGGAACACAATTACCTCTCATCCACCTATTGACCCCCCAAAACCCTTCTCATCCACCTTTGGGTCAAAATTTACCCCCCTTCATTAAAGAGCATAATTTAAAATAATGAAATAATATTTTTAATCACGTGGCACCCAACCATTGGTTGTATTTTAATTATTTAATTTCCTCTATTTAGAAGAGGGAGTTGAAGGACTAACATAGCTTTAAAAAGTTGTTCTCAAAGCTATTTAAACTGTACTTTAAATATATATATATATATTTTACTTTATTTAACAACTCCCCTATTTAGAAGAGGGAGTTGAAGGACTAACACAACTTTAAAAAGTTGTTCCCAAAGATATATATATATATATATATATATATATATATATATATATATATATATTACTTTATTTAACAAGGATAATTATGTAATTTTGCCATTAAATTGAGGAGATTTCTAGAGGATGAACAAGGGTAGATGGGTAATTTCACTATACTTTTTGGATCTATACATTTGTTGTCTATCCACTTTAGTTCTTTCCTTGTTTACTTCTAAATTTGCTCTCCCATGGTTGAGGAAGAGTATTACTGATCCTGCTGCTCTTCACATTAAGCAGAGAAGGTAATTCCTAATGCAGAGATAAAGAAAAGACTACCGTAATATTTATCTTTTCTTTTTAGTAGTGCCGAGAAGTGATAAAATACAGAATACAAAGACAAGTAGGAAGTTACACTTCCAGAATTGTAGATCAAAACTATGATAAATTTGGAGACGTTTAGATTGCTAAAATAACTTATTAAATCATGATATAGTCTCTTTCTCCATAAGGTAATGAAAACTAGGAAAGAAATTAGAAAAGATATCAATATCATAAAGGCATAGCAAAAGCAAAAGCTAAAATATCTTCTGTATATAGAATATGAATAGTATGTGCATCAAATAAGATTTGAGAAAACCTTGAAGACGAATGCACTTTGTGCTTGCTCACTACAGTAGATAATGAAACTTTAGATATTTCCATATATAGACCCATCTAGAATTGAACCATAGACTGTTCAGATTTTTCTTTTTTTTAGAAAGGTAACAAAAATGCCTAAGAGCCTTTTCAGACTCCGGACTTCAAGATCTCGAATGCAAAAATTTCCATTTAAGCAGAAAGTTGGATAAGGATTCAAACTTCACATCTAAGTAGGAAAGATATTGGCTATCCAATGGACATAGCATTGACTATAGGATAAGGAGGTAGAACCGTAGAAGAGATGCACTTATTAGAAAGCTTGAATTACAGGAATTGATCCTTCATATAATTAAGTTCAGAGATGTTTATAGAAACAAATTGTATGCAAAAAACAGTTTAGTCAACTAGATTGTAGTTGCAAATGTGCAATGAATTCTTCTAATAACCATAACTTTGCCATGACGAGTTCAAGGTTATCGTGAAATTCCACTTCCTTTTAATTGAATCCATTCTCTTCAAAATATTTTTCAAGATTAAACATTTAATATGATTGTATGCATTTATTTTGAGCAACTCAGAGAAAAGGTCTTAACACTTGACTGCATAGATGTAGAAGGTTTAAGAACTCCAGCAGTTATCCAGTCCTAATGTTGTTACTTTGCCATCTATTTGACAAAAAAAGTTCGAATGCATCCATATATACACATCCTCTGTTGGTTATGCGTGCAAAAATCGAACTCTTATTAAATAGGCAATGTAACATTATGAACGTCTACCTTTCCATTTCGCCTTGGATCACCATAAGGTAGGTTATGAACAACACCAATTCTCCATACACCAATTCTCATGCTATTATTCAACTCACTTGAATTTCTCAAAAATGCTTCTATTTGCTCATCCATGAACATATAGAAGCATGCATTTTTCTTTGCATATTCACTGGTATTCTTTGGTTGTCGTATCAAATCAAAAGCCACTTATCAAGAATATATTTGTTAAAACTTGAAACTACAGTCCACCAGATACAAGATGAAAATGTAACAATGAGTGAATTGAAAGATCAATACCAAATATTGCAGATGCCACCACGACACCTTGACAAGATTCAATCTCAATAAGGTCAGAATCATCAATGTCAAAACCTGTCTGATGTCCAGGCTTGACTCCTCTGACAAAACTGTCGATTGGATGTGGAATGGAAAATATAAAATATGGTAAAATAGAGGATCTTGTGAAAATTGCAGTAATCTTTATCAAGTAGAGATAATATCATACCCACAATGCACCCTCATGGACTCTCTTATGTCATAAGAATCATTCCTCTGAAATAGCGAAGGATATCCGCCGAAATCTGAACCTCCAAAATCGACTTTACTCTAATTTACTTCATGGATGTAAGTCAAATTGCTAACACCAGGAGAAAAGGATGGTGCATCAGGCATTAATGCAATAGCTTGTTCAACAGGAAGGTAGCACACCGGACATGCGGAAAAACAAAAGAAAAAGAAAACTGAGGTTCAACATTTAGTACTCATATTTCTGACCTTCAATCTATTCAAAGGAGAAAAATTTCAGGTTATTACGAGACTTTTAAACTTACGCCGTGGTCCAATCCTCTTCTTATCTGCTGGCGGGGGTGGCAACGTGAAGCCTTCACATGGATTTCCAGGGGGAAGAGTGTATCCTTTGAAATATACAGGAGGAAGAAAAGGGGGAGGAGGTTGGACAATTGACACACTTCAGCCAACATTATTTTTTTGTATAGACTTAATACCCCTAAAAATATATTTTAAGTACAATTTCTTGAGCAAACATCCTATTACTTTGTTCTGCGGCAACTTCACCTGAAAATGAGTTGAAAACTTGGTCATTACAGAAGGAAGAAAAGCAGATGTGAGGGATGAAAATCTAGGAAATGTACAAGCACCAACTTATGGAACGGCCGAATCAAAAGCATTCCTTTAATAACAGAAGCAGAAAATTGAATTATACAGGTGTTCATTGAGAATCTTCACTGGAAACTAGCCAAAATCAGGAAAATTTCCTCATTAAATAAAATGTCGAAAATACAAACAAATGCAAGGCAACCAATTAATACTTACCAAAACTAGAACACTATTACCACCAGATAACACCACATAAGACCCTATCAAAAGCTTTTATGACATTTACTCAAAGAAACGACAACAACAACGTACACAGAGTAATCCCACAAGTGGGTTCCAGGGAGGGTGGTGTGTAAGCAGACATTTACCTTCATCCATCAGATAAACTCTAAGAACTAACAAAAATAAGATTTTTAATTTTGTATTACTACTTAATAAGCAAATTCTCTATCGTAGTATTTGAAAGTACATGAACACCAAACTATAGGTAAACCTCTAGTTTGCATAAAGATTTGACATGATCTAGAATGGAATTATGGATACTACACCACTTTAAACTAAAAATTGGAGCCAAAAGTCCTAACAATGTGACACATCTCAAAAAAAGTGACAAATGTACAGAATTGTAGAGAGCAAACCTTTGCCAACATACAAGACCCACAGAAAAGCTGTAACAGAAACAACACAGAGTAGCAACATCCCAACATTCTTTCGAGGGGCGAATTTGCAGATCCAGAGAAACAATCCCTCTTTATCCTTAAACAATTTTGGGGGTTTTCTTGGAATAGGGGGTGTTGTTTGGATTGGTGATGAACTATTCTGAAATAGTTTTTGTTGCGAAGAACCATAATTTCCTGAAGAACGAAGACCCAATGACCCTGTAGTCATTGTTGTCCCCTCAATCCTAAAACTTCACCTCTCATTGACCCCCTCCACTCATCCACATAAAAAAAGTGTCACTTTATTTCTTAAAGATTGAAACTTTTCACTAAATTTCACACTCTAATTTGGAACAATTCAACAAAAGCAGCTCAAAAACACCAGAAAACTTCTCACTACACGAATCTTCTACATCCTTTACATATGTTATGATAAACAATCACATGTTGATCTCATATGTCAAAAAAAATATTTTGATTTTATTACCTTAGTTAATATGGATCATCTTGATGGCCAATATCAGTTGTACATATATTTTTAATATCTCTAATAGTATATAACATATCACATTATCCATCTTCTGTAATAACTATCATTAATGATTCATTAATACTGATATTTTGACTATTGGGCCTGCGCTTGCCACGGGCCTTCCCCATCTAGTATAATTTTAACTAAATCCACTCGACCCACCCAATACAAAAATCCATCTAAGTAAAGAACCGTAAAATCCAAATAAACACTTCAATACTTCCAATAAATTCAAGATCTACAGAGGGTTTAGAACCTAAGTGTTCTTCTCTTCATTTTGTTATAAATGATTGTTTCTTCTTCAATTTCTTCCCAGTTTCTTTGTCTCAAATAAAAAATAAAATAAAATTACTATGGATTTTTATTAACTGATTTTATGTGAAATTGATGTGGTTTTGTTTGTAATGCAGTTGCTTTTATTTGTATAGTGCCAAAGAATTACTAGTACTATCTCTGTTTTTTATTGAATTTGACTAAATTTATATATTCATCAAAAAATTTATAACAAGATGAATTGTATCCTAGTCAACATGAATCCCTACTATTTTGGAGGTCTTAATATTAAAAGGTAATTATAAATGAGAATTGCGTCTCAACTGAGTTGTTGTTAAAAGTTGACTATCAAAAGCATCCAATCTAAAAAAGGGATGTACATGTACATGAGAAAAATGAAGGCTTATAAAACAGATGTACTGTCACGACCCAAAGCGGGCCGCGAGTGGCACCCACACTTATCCCCCCTATGTGAGCAAACCAACCAATCTAACCCCAATGTTTTCAAACATAATAAACAGAATAAAATGCGGAAGACTTAAAACTCATTAATATAACCAATAAATAACTTCTAAAACTCAAAACTTATCATTATCCCCAAAATCTGGAAGTCATCATCACAAGAACATGTATTCTCAAATTACTAAATCTAAGAATGTCTAGGAAACTAAAACAAATACAAGAGATAGTCCATGTCCGAACTTCAAGGACATCAAGACATGAATGAGAGAGAATCCAGTCCGAGCTAGGAACAATAGCTCACCCTGAAATCTGACAGAGTGAAGACTGGCTAGAGTTGCTGTTGAGTTGAAGACGACGGCACATTTGCTGCGCTCTACAAATAACAAGAGAAAAACATACAAGTAGGGTTCAGTACAAAACACAAGTACTGAGTTGATATCATCAGCCAACTCAAAATAGAAAACAGTATATATCAGATAATATCATAAAATCAACTACAATACTCAACATGCGACATTTACAATTACCATAACCCTTGGTCACAACACCAAGCACATCAATGAGGACTCACGCCTCCCCATCATACTCATTTGGGAATTAGGTTCATTAAATTTGAGTATATTAAGATAATTCAAGATCCATTCTCTTTATTTCTCTTGTGTCGGAACGTGACACTCCGATCCCCTAATACTACGTGTCGGTTCGTGACACCCGATCCCCTAATACTACGTGTCGGTTCGTGACACCCGATCCCCCTAATACTACGTGTCGGTTTGTGACACCCGATCCATTAATACTACGTGTCGGTTCGTGACACCCGATTCCCATATACTATCCTGGTACCGGAACGTGGCACCCGATCCATATTCTCACTACTTTCGTTCATCAAGCCTTCTTTTATACCAAGACATCATCATTAACAAAGTAGATTAGGGTTTTTTAAGATTTAGGATTCAATAGCTTCATCATGCTTAATTTATCACAATTATATAATCACATTCATGCGAGCATACAATTAAGCATATAGAAGGGTTTACAACACTAACCAATACATATCATTCGCTATTAAGAGTTTACTACGAATAGCATAAACCATAACCTACGTCCACCGAAGAATTGCGATCAAACAAGCTAATTCCCCAAAGCTCTGTTGTTCTCTTCGTTCCTCTCTCGATCGATCGATCGTTTCTCCCCTTTCTCTCTCTTTTCTTTCTATTTTTCTTATTCCAAACCCTTTTTCTTTTACCCTAATTAGGATATAATTAAGTATAAAAGATGAAAAAAGTAACCCACTAATTAATTGTAGGTTATCTCCTTTAACCCCTAAGAAACTGAATTATTAACATTCAACCACTAACTTTATAATTATAAGCAGGAATAGTCCAAAACGCCCCTTAAAACTTTTAACAGAAATCCGACCCAATCAGGGTTACACAGTCTGTGATGGGCCGTCGTGCCTGCGACGGTCCGTCCTGCTGAGTCGTCACAGAGTTCAGAGACTGAAATTTACTAAAGGGGCTGTGACGGTCCGTCGTGCCCACGACGGTCCGTCCTGCCATGTCGTCGCGAAGTTCAGAGAGTTGTTCTCAGCACCCAATTTTTCAGAATTCTAAGTGTTTTGGAATGACACACCCTCGACGGTCCGTCGTGCCCATGACAGTCCGTCGTGGGATCCGTCGATTCAGACTGTTGTTACTAGAAATAAACTCTACTGCTCAAAACGACTAACAGGTCGTTACAAAAGATACCAATTTGCCCATCGTTCGTCCCCGAACGATCACAAGATTAAAAACAAGGGCAAAAAGGAGTACTTGAATCTGTAAATAGGTGTGGGTATCTTTCTCGCATATCAGCCTCCTTCTCCCAAGTGGACTCTTTAACTGGTCGATTCTTCAATTGAACTTTGATGGATGCAATCTTCCTTGATCTCATCTTGCGAATTTCTCTATCTAGAATGGCAACTGGCTCCTCCTCATAAGTCAAATTCTCATCAAGAAGAACCGAATCCCAACGAATGATGTAGTTTCCATCCCCATGGTATCTTTTCAACATAGACACATGAAATTCCGGATGCACTCCTGACAGTCCTGGGGGCAAGGCTAATTCATAAGCCACCTCCCCTACTCGCTTAAGTACTTCAAATGGTCCAATATACCTTGGGCTTAGCTTACCTCCTTTTCCTAACCGCATCACCCCTTTCATGGGCGAAACCTTTAACAAGACTTGCTCACCCTCCATGAACTTAAGTCTCTAACCTTTCGATCTGCATATTCCTTTTGCCTTCTTTGAGCCGCTAAAAGATTTTCTTGAATAGATTTCACCTTCTCTAATGAATCCCTCAAAAGATCAGTGCCCCACGGTCTAACCTCAAATGCATCAAACCAACCAATGGGAGACCTACATCTCCTCCCATACAATTCTTCGAAAGGAGCCATATCAATACTTGAGTGATAGCTATTATTGTATGAAAATTCCGCTAAGGGTAAGAAGTTATCCCAATGACCCCCAAATTCTATCACACATGCACGAAGTATATCTTCCAACACCTGAATTGTTCGCTCAGACTGGCCATCGGTCTGGGGGTGGAATGCAGTACTAAGGTCCAACCTAGTACCTAATTCAGCATGCAATGTTCTCCAAAACTTAGAAGTAAACTGCGTACCTCTATCTGATATGATGGAAAGTGGAACTCCATGCAATCGAACAATTTCTGAGATGTAGAGTCTGGCTAACTTCTCTGCATTGTAGGTCACCTTGACCGGAATGAAGTGAGTAGACTTAGTTAATCTGTCCACAATTACCCAAATAGAGTCAAACTTCCCCAATGTCTTTGGAAGACCAACCACGAAGTCCATTGCAATTCTCTCCCACTTCCATTTAGGAATGGGCATTCTTTGAAGTGTTCCTCCGAGCCTCTGGTGTTCATACTTTACTTGCTGACAATTTGGACATTTGGCAACAAAATCAACAATGTTGCGCTTCATTCTACTCCACCAAAAGTGTTGCTTTAGGTCACGGTACATCTTGGTTGCACCAGGATGTATAGAGTATCCGGAACTATGAGCCTCTGTAAGAATAGTGTGGATCAAATCATCAACACGGGGCACACATACCCTTCCCTTAATTCTCAAAACACCTTCCTCATCCATTATTGCTTCTTTAGCCTTTCCTCGCAACACCATATCCCAAATTCGGCTTAGTTTTTCATCATCAAACTGTTTTCCCTTGATCTTGTCAAGAAAAGAAGATCTCGCCTCCACACTGGCCAAAAATCCTCCCTTCTCATTTACTTCTAACCTCATAAAGTCCTTAGCCAAAGTCTGAACCTCTCTAGCCAATGGGCGTCTAGAAGCTTGTAAGTGGGCTAAACTACCCATACGCCCTGCTTTTCTACTTAAGGCGTCTGCCACAACATTAGCCTTTCCTGGGTGATACAAGATGGTAACATCATAATCCTTCAGTAGTTCCATCCATCTCCTCTGTCTCAAGTTCAAATCTTTCTGAGTAAAGACATACTGTAAACTACGATGATCTGTATAGACTTCACACTTCACCCCATATAGATAATGTCTCCATTGCTTTAATGCAAACACTACCACAGCCAACTCCAAATCATGGGTAGGATAATTACGTTCATGCACCTTTAATTGCCTCGAAGCATAAGCAATTACACTCTTCTCTTGCATTAGCAATGCACCCAAACCAGAATAGGATGCATCACAATAAACAACAAAGTTTTTTCCTT